AAATTTTAAGCTCATAGTAAATGCTTAAAATGAAAGTTTATTACTAGCATTTAAACCTCCCTTCATCTAAGAACATATGTATTAAACATAAATAACATAATTATTTTAACATATGCTCTTGAGGCTTCATATCCTGCCATCCAGACATGGAGAATGAATGCCAACCACCTGATTAGAAAACTCCCTTATTTCCTGAGCAACTGCCAGACAGCTAGGGCAGGACTATTTATGTCTCCACTCCTGGTGAATTTCTCTCCTCCTCCCCCAAAAAGAGGCAAAGGTGTCTTAACTGCTCTCTACTCAAAAAACCGGAAATCCTCAATCTTCATAATAAGTAGCTAATTTTTCAGTAACCATCTCTCCTCATCTCACACAAAGGACAGAACTGCGTCAGTGTCAGCGACCAAGAAGGAGCAAAACGTATCTCGCAGCCTCGCTCTTTGGCTTGTGCCCCTGCATTTATGTGGGTTTTTCTTTTTCTCTCTCTCTATAATGCCAAATGACCTCTTGCCTGGAATGATTCATCGTGCTACCCAGTTAGCATTCATTCCCAACAGCAGATCTCTGAAATCCAGCCGAGGATTTCTGAGTCAGGTCGTATTTTATGGCTGTTGCATTCCTCTGTCAGAAGAGATTTGGTCTCATTTTCTGCAGAGGGTAAGAGTGATCATTTCATCCATATACTTGGATTCTAACGAAAATCGGGATCATTTGGATCTCTTCCTGCATTAAGTATCCACACTTCTTAGCCCACTGATTTTACAGTAGAGGAAGTTTAAATTATTTCTTTAAAATTCATTAGAAATATTCCACCTGCCCCCGTAAAAAAAAAAAATAAAAAGTTTAGAAACTTATAGGGATAAAACTTCAGACTGTTGTCTAAAAGATCTAGGCCTGATTAACAAAAAACAGATCCCAAATCCTTCTGATGGGACATCAGCATTACTTCTGAGAGGCACTTAAGAAGCAAAGATGCCCGAATAGTATTGCTTGCACAATTTGAATGGCATGTTTTCCATCTAAATTTCTCCACCTACTATATAAGATACTCTTTTTCATTTCATTTTGGATAAATATCGTATTTCTAAATAATCCTCTTTCAGTCAGCCTAGGAACTTCTTGAGCAACCATTTTCTCTTGGAAGAAACATATACCTAAGTTGGAGTAAGGAGAATTTTATTCTGATATCCTTAGAAGGGCTATTTGTGCCACAGTATTCTTCATTTTTTGCTTCAAAGCTGCAGCAATTTCTACTACTTCCATCCACGTGAGGGAGGCAGAGAAGACCGATGGCCATTTTCACAGATGCACATTTATTAGATGCCTATAAATGTGGTTCTTTTGTCACTTTCTAATAGTCCCCAAAGCTGTGCCTCATATTGCAAATCATCTGTGCTGAAGACAATTTCTAACTTTCCAAATTGTTTATATTCCACCAGCTGCACGCCCTCCTTTCAGTGTTAGTGGTAGTTTACTAAGCAGTAGGTCAATGCACAAGGCTCTGAAGGAAAGAGGAGAACGATTTCTTGAAAAGTTTCCCTGCCCTCATCTCAGGAGACCTACATGGCCTCACCACAAAGTTGGACACAGATTAGAGTTTGAGAATGGAAAAGTACAGTCCCTCCCTCCCAGTCCCTTACTTTTCAAGGATGCAGTGACAGTGGTGACAGTTGCCTGACCACGAGTTTAGAAAGAGTGTTGATGGGAAGTGCATTTGGGACCGGCCGCGTCTCTGCATGAAGCCCACACTGGGGGGGATGTCATGGACACAAGCCTTCAGTAGTAGCAGCAGCAAGCAAGTCAGCCCGTCAACACTTCTTGATTGTAATATTTTGGGGTTTGTTTTCTAATCAAAAATACTGACTTGTCACCCTTTGTACTCTCACTGTTGTTCTATATTATAAAATAACAACTCAAAAAAAAAACTAAAATGCCAGCCTCAAAAGAGTCAGAAGAATATATGTCAGTACCACCTCCACATCCCAGATTCCAGACAATACAGTTTTCTCTTTGACCTCTTTCTGTCTCCCTCAAACTCAAAAAAAGGCACGGGAGCAAATCAAGTTCATTGGCGGCATATCCTCCGCCATTCTGTATTAGCTGGGGAAGTCTTTGCTCCGTCTGAATTACCTGCCTCTCTGACCAGTGGTGTCTTGGAGGTATTAAGGTGAACAACTCAATGTTTAGTGGCAGCTGTTACAGCACGGGCTGCCTCGCGTCTTGCTGCTAGTCATATGTCGTTATTGATTGATTAGTCAGAACACAGACTACTTTCAGACTATTGTCAGAACCATAAGATGCTGAAAAGTCATTAGTTCCTTTGTTTCGAGCAACTCTAAATCTCTGGATTCTTTTCATTAAGGCATTCATGGTCTCCTATGGAACCAAATGTTTCATAACATTGATGAATGGAGCACAGAGGTCATGTTCACTGTGCTTCTCATTTATTTGTCCTAGATTGGGTTTCCTGCACTGCTTTCATCCTGAGTCAAGAGCAAACCTGAAAGCTGCCACAAATGGGCAAAGTCTCTACTAAATACCGGCTGTCTACCCCATCATCAAAGCCTAGAAGCACTATTGGAGTTCTAAAGGTACAGGGGAGGAAGTTCTGAAACAGCACAGAAACAGAAAGTGTCATGGAAGACAAGGGACTCCCATAGTTACATAAAATCTGTCTCATAACAAAGATTTTAATTTTTGCATTGAAAACAATTTGCTAAGATTCTTAAATCTCTTTTTAATCAGCTAAAACTCCTTTTCTGGAATTCTTTTTCTGAATATGACAAAATAAAAAATTTTCCCAAAATTAAAATTTCAAGGACTCCCCTAGTTTTCCACCATCTTGTTTCAGAGACCTTGAGATTGCTGTGATGTCAGATGGTCCACTGACATTAGCTTTTCAGCCTTCCACAAGGTATGTGAAGTCCACATTTCCAGCCATGCAAACTGGATTTTGGATGGTTTTTAATTAATAGGCAACAATGTAATATCATTTCCAATGTCATTACAGCCTGCCCAAGAAAACTTACTCTGTCTCCTGGAGGGCCCATTGGTCCTGGTGGGCCAGGTAATCCCGGAGTGCCCTACAGGGAAGGAAGCAAACAAGTGAAACATTGCAGTATACTTCCAGTGTGAAAAAGAATCCTTGTTATTCTGCAAAATGCTTTTTTAGAGAAAAGTTGTAGGTTCTCAAAGAAACAGGAAACCAGAGCCAAGCATAGTACCAGGCATACAGTAGCTGCTCAGTCACCAAGCAGAACACAGTTGGAGACTCAGACTAGGGTACAAAATGGAAATAATGGGGAGCACATTAGCAGCCTTCCGCTTTGCTGCTTCACCTTGGCTCACCTTCGGAGGCATTACAAAGGCAACTATTCAGATAATACATGGCAGAGGGAAGACAAGGCAACTTCAAGACCAACTCACTGTTCGGCCTGGAAGTCCTGGCTCTCCGGCATCCCCTTTCATCCCTTGGCGACCCTAGAGTAAGCAATGGGAAAGTAGTTCTCAGGCGTTTCACTGAGATTAAGTGAAAAGGGAAGACATGAGTCACTTATGAAATCTTCATCACTTCATAAATCCAGTGTAAGGGTTCAGAGACAAGCACATAAGGGTACTTTTGAAGGGAGATGAATAAACCATTTTTGGATTTATGTTCACTTTTTAAGTTACAAATGCTATTATAATTTCTACTTATAATGTTATGAGGAAATTTTATATAATTATGGGATAATACACCTACTTTGAAAGAACATAGTTTAACATAAGGGATATCTGTGTTGCTTTTAAGA